GTTCGATCAATTTTAACGCCGAAATCCCGAGACTCACTGGTTCACACCGGACGCGTCCGGTTGCTCTCTGCAATCCAGCACCGTGCTACATCACTTTGACCGGACGTTAAATAGTAACTCCTCAGCGTCCAGTCGCTCCAATGAGCTAGAGTCCGGTCATTAATACCGGACATGTTCGGTCGCCATAGCAGACGCGTCCGATCACTCTGTGACCAGCGCGACTAACTTCTTTTCAACTCCATCTTCTTTACCTTTGCTCAAATGTGCCAACCACCAAATATATCATCCTGTGCACATGTGTTAGCATATTTTCACAAATGTTTTCAAGGGTGTTAGCACTCCACTAGATCCTAAATGCATATGCAATGAGTTAGAGCATCTAGTGGCATTTTGATAACCGTATTTTGATACAAGTTTCACCCCTATTAATAGTACGGCTATCGAACCTAAATGTGATCATACTCGCTAAGTGTCTTGATCACCGAGATAAAATGGCTCCTACCACTTATACCTTTGCCTTGTGCCTTTCATTTTTCTCTTTCTTCTTTTCAAGTCCAAGCACTTGATCATCACCATGGCATCACCATCATCATGTCATGATCTTCATTTGTTTCACCACTTGGAATGTGCTACCTATCTCATGATCACTTTGATAAACTAGGTTAGCACTCAGGGTTTCATCAATTCACCAAAACCAAACTAGAGCTTTCAACCGCTGAATGTGTACGTGTGTGTACCCTCCTTTTCTGTAAAAAAATCCAGAAAAATGTGCGACACCACGAACAGCCCTACTGCTAGACCACAGTCCTTTTGCAAACTCTTTAACTTTAACTAAGATTATTTATGAAAAATATACATCAACATCTAAATCATTTAGTTTCATTAAATTTTCTATAAATATTTTGATTTGCCATTTGTTTAAAATTATAGTTATCATTTTTTTCTAGAAAAATGTGCTAAACTTGAGAAATTTGATTTAGGACAAAACCAAATAAACTATATTTTAGGCTTTACTTACCAAGAGGATCTAATAAAACTCATGGATCTGAGATACACTGTTCTTCTTTTGCAAAGTAACATTGTAGGCTTCTAAAGTAAATGCCATCCCGGAATAATTAAATTTGTGGACCGGTGCTGGGAGCTAATTTTGTGATTATTTTTGGACCTGTGCAAGGATCGGGTCCAATAGGTAATCGGCCTGCTTCCCTCTATGCTCTGTCCTCCATATCTACCCCACGATAGAACCCCCACCGATAGAAATCCCCACTCGCTTCGCTCGTCGCGGCTTCAACGTATTGGGAGCCTACCCTACTCCGCCTCGCCGCTGCGTGCCGCGTCTGCCGCCATCCCGCTCCGTGCCCGCGCTGCTTGGGTACCTCGTCCAAGCAGCAAAATGACATTTGTGCAATGCATGTTGCAAGCTTATGTTTCAATTGTTTCAGATATTTCATATTAATGTTGCAAAAGTACATCGTGATGTTGCGCATGTTGCAATAGTTATGCACGTATGTTACAAGTGTATGTTCCAAATGTTTCATCTATTTTTGTTAGATGTTCGGTGCAAGTGTTTCATCTAGATATTGCATATGTTTTCACACGTATGTTGCAAGTGTTTTATCTAGATGTTGCGTATGTTTACAATGGTTCTTAAGATAAGAGTTTTCAAGTGTTTTGTAAGTATTTTGGACGCATGTTGCAAGTGTTTCAGTTGTTTCGTACGTATGTTGCAAGTGTTTTATCTAGATGTTTCAAAACTAGATCGGGATATTGCACATGATGCAATGTGACCCACCTTGCCACAACCACCTGTTGCAGTTGCTTGGGCGTTGTGCATGCGTGTGGGGGAGCGGAGGGACGGAGGCACGGAGCGCTACTGGGTAGCGGGTGCGGGAAGCGGAGGCGATGGCTCCAGGGGCGCAGGCGGTCCCCGCGCGACAGGTGGGTGCAGCAAGCGGAAGCGGCGTGGGCGGAAAGCGGAGGGGGCGCGGGCATCCGGATAGAGGCGTGAAGTGGGGGCGTAGTTTTCTAGGAGGAGCAGGCGCCGATGTCAGGCGTAGAAACAGATTGTAGCCACGGGCGTTCGGACGCGGACGTTCGTCCTGACGTCCGGACACTAGCAGTGCTGTATGTTTTTTTTAAAAAGAAGTAATGTGGTACTTAACAGAGTACTAGCATATAGGAAAGGCATTAATCCATTATCTGCTCCGATCCATACCATTTTCGGAATTTTGGTGGACCCACAGGCCACACAGCCCACAGCCTGGTAGGCACAGCCCATAGATGCGGACTGCTGGTGCGTTGGTCCCTGATTCCCCGTCCGCAGCAGTTTTGAAGGGAAACCAAAACAACGAGACCTGTAGTCCATGAAATCCTCGTACTTGCGTTGGCCCCCAATTACCGTCTTGTAACGCGACAGTATTCAAGAGAGCTCTCCCAGGTCTAGGTGGTGTAGGTGCCCGCGGAGCAGCCAGGGCGTTGGGGTCTGAGGAGGAGAAGATGGTGGTGCTGGTGGTGGCCATGACGTCGGATTCGGCATCCATTGGGCCTGCCGCCGCCTTCCTCGCCATGCCCGGATGGTCCCCCGGCCCGCCCATCGCCGTAAGAGCAAAATAGAGCTTCTGTCTAAACCCCATCTATAAGTCTCGATTCGGTCCATCCGCTCGTGTGTTGTGCTATCTCCTATTCTGTAGTAATTCGTATGCGTCGACCACCAATATTATCTGTGGAGTTGCTAGGACTCTAGGAGTTGTGGTGGTACTTGTCATTGTGAGTTGAGATTGTCCCTCGCTTTGCCTTGCTTAGCAAGGACATTGGTTTGGTTAGCATCTAAAATCTTCTTTTGCTTAGTAGCCTCGCTCACCTCAACAAGGATTTTCTTGCCCGTGCAGGCGAGCCAAATCCTCTCTCCCGCATGATCAAGGTTGCTTCAGGCCCTAGCATTGATGAGCTGGCAGTCTATAGGAAGATGGGAGGAAATTGAGAACGAGAGAACCAGTAAGAAAGCAAAACTCACTTTGCTTTGCTGGTTGGGGCAAGGCGAGGTGAGCAACGAAGACAAAATGTTTTGATCACGTCCTTGGTCCATACCCTAGTAATAGCGTTGTTCACATGAGCCGTTTTTTCTCTCTCTTATCAAATAGGGTAGGAGTCCAAAAAAGCTATATCTTGTGGTCCTTCAGCCCTTGTTCGTCCATTACTATTGGACAAAGTCAAAACTAGAGGGAGCCCAACGCTTAACTATAAAATACTTGTAACCAACACCATGACCAAAAAATTGCAACAAGAAAAATCCATAACTAAAAAATCATCAAGTTGTACGAAGCATTGCTAAATAGTACTCTGTCTGGTTTAAATTACAGTTCACTTTAATTTCATTAAAATTAAACCTCTTTAACTTTAATAACTAAGTTTATTTATGGGAAAAGTACATGAACATCTAGAATATTAAATTAGTTCAATTAAATTCTCTATAAATATTTTGATTTGCCATTTGTCTAACATTATAGTTATTAATATTTTTCTTAAAACTCTATTAAATTAGAGAAATTTGATTTAGTTCAAAACCAAATAAACTATATTTTAGAACTAAGTAAAATACGATAGGCTTTACTTACCAAGAGGATCTAATAAAAAAACTTGTAGATCTCAGATACACTGTTCATATTTTGCAAAGTAACAATTTGAGGGCAGTATAACAGCCTCGTATAGAGCCGCCGTCGTTAGATAGAGCCGCTGCCACCGTTCCTTGCTCCGTCGTCGCCGCACCTAGGACCCCTCTCCTTCTTCCTCTCCGGTGCATCTACCAGAGACAAGAACGGAGGGAACCCATCCTTTTTTACCCGTAGTTTTTCTATCTAGTTGATTAGTTGATTAGGGTTTTTCTATCGTGTTTCCTGCGATGACTTCAGTGATTGTCACGACGAGATCGCCGTTGCAGGCGTCGATTTCATCGGCAGGCGGCCAATCTATGGCCTTTATTTGCAAGCGGACGGGTTCTGGGAGTCCATATGAGGACAGTGACTCCGGGTCATCTATCTCATCGTCGATGGTCGCAGAGAGGAATTCAAGGTCTCATTCTGCAAACTATGTCGTATCTGAGGATGCAACTGCTAATATTCTTTTAGCAATTTAGATGCGTTTTGGACTGGTTCCGAAGTGTTGGATCTTGCGACATGTCCAATGTTTTAGAGTTGGTCGTAGGATTCGGCATAAGAAGTGTACTTTGGCTCCGGCGTTCGAGGGAAGCCACTGAGGGAAGAAGATGATGGAAGAATCTGGATAGATTATTATTTTCATTTCAGATTTTTTCATGTATAATTTAAAGATGCACTGTGCCAAGATTTAATATAAGTCCCTATTCTCTTCGTAAAGAAAAAGATAACAGTTCTAAAGAAAATGGACGGACGAGGCAAAAGAACCTCCCGATTTTTTTTTTGCGGACTGGGATGGGGAGCTAATTTTGTGATGTTGTTTTAATGTAATTTGGTACGTACATAGGAAAGACATTGCTCCCTCCATATATTTCTAAAAGAAGTTATTTTAGATAAGGCTTGAATCAAACTTTAAGTTGTTATTAATTTTGGAAATATGAAAGCCATATAAATAGATTTATCTTAAAAATACTTTTATTATAATATACATATATTATTTTTTATAAATATTTTGATAAAATCCATTATCCGTTCCGATCAATACCATTTTCGGATTTTCGGGAGACCCACAGCCCACAACAGCCCACAGCCTGGTAGGCACAGCCCACAGATACGGACGGTGCGTTGGCCCCTGATTCCCCGTCCGCCGTAGTTCTTGAAGGGAAACCAAAACCAAAACCAAAACCAAAACGGCGAGACCTGCAGCCCACGAAATCCTCGTACTTGCGTTGGCCCTTGCCCCCCGATTACCCGTCTTGTAGCACGACAGTATTCGAGAGTGCTCTCCCAGGTCGAGGTGGTGTAGGTGCTCGCGGAGCAGCCGGGGCGTTGGAGTCTGAGGAGGAGAAGATGGTGGTGCTGGTGGTGGCCACGACGTCGGACCCGGCGTCCATTGGGCCCGCCGCCGCCTTCCTCGCCATGCCCGGATGGTGCCCCGGCCCGCCCATCGCCGTAAGAACAAAACAGAGCTTCTGTCTACACCCCATCTATCTGATCTGATTTAATCCCCATAAGCCTCGATTCGGTCCATCCGGTTGTGTGTTGCGCTATAACCTACAGTATTTTGTAGTAATCCGTATGCGTCGACCACCAATATTATCTGTGGAGTTGCTAGGCCTGTAGGAGTTGCGGTGCTACTTGTCATTGTGAGTTGAGATTGTGCCTAGTGCTTCGGATGGTTATGTTTGCGGTGTGAAACAGGATGCACAGTCGTGTAGCTTTAGGCAATTGTGCAATTCGGGATGTTTGAATGACTACCGCGCCTATAGGATTTTCATGTAGCCACGAATATCTAAGTAGTATGATGAATTTTGTCCTTAATAGTACTTACCAAAGTTCTTTTGGGCATAGGTATCCTGTCTTAGCAGTGTGCAAGGCAATTTTATAGCCCATGATAGAAAGATAATCAGTTGTTGAGATCATGGCTTCCTGAATTTTACTGGGCTTGCGTGTAGTATTTTTCTGAGGTTGATCCAACTTGGGAGAGGGAGGGGACCAAGCATATTCATTTACATTTTGGGCCTGTTTGGATCCACTAGTAATATTAGTTAGCTGATTAATAGCCACTTACAATTATCTAGCTAATTATTAGCAGGGAGCTGTTTAGATCCACCTACTAATATGTTGCTAATAGGTGGTTGGCACCTATTAGCAGCCCCAAACTTGCTAGTGGAACTAAAGGCCTGTTTGGATACCAAGAGCTAATTGTTGGCTAGCTAAAAATTATCTAAAATTAGAGCTAGCCCATCCAAACAGGAGGGCTAATTTTTTAGCCAAGTCTCCAACTAGCTGTTAGCCAATTAGCTGGCCAATTGTAGCTAATTTGGGCTAATTTTTAGCCCCAACTAGTAAATAGCCCTAGCTCGTCCAAACGGGCCCTAATAGTTAGCAACCCCTTAGCTAATAGTTAGTTGGTCTATTAGCAGGTCTGTTTGGATTCACTAGTACTAATTTTAGCTGCTAACTATTAGCACTAGTGGATCCAAACAGGCCCTTTATGTACTGACCTTGACTCATGACTCTATTCGCTCAAATTATTGATGCCTGATATCTTGGACTCATGTCCCTAAAGGCTTCAGCCCATGTCCTTGTGCGGGGGTATTGAATAAAGTTTGACTTGGCTTCACCATTTGTTCATTATACTTTGCGAGTCTGTGCATTTTGAGTATTATTCTAACATTATTTGTTCTATGAGAAGTACACTGGACTTGACTGCATTCCTGTTTTAGAAATTTTAAGCTCAGTGAGACAGTGACTTCATGAGTTGATGCTGCATAAAATGCATTTTCTCAGTTGTATTCTGAGACTGAAACCTCAGGTCATGTAATGGACGCAAATGCATTATGTACCAGGGAGAAGGGGATCTGAACTCATTTAAGTTTTAATCTATTTCTTTAATACTGTGAAAAGGAAGGCATCCAACTGATGTTAGCTGATACTTTGCATTTCAGCAGTTTTCTAAATTCATATTTTATCATGGTTCTGGTTCCAATTAATGTGTGCCCATATTGTTTTGTAGGAGGGGATGGAGAGTTTTACTAATGGGAATGTTCGATTATTGAAGCATGAACGTAGCATTATCGCAGAGGATGATCTTGACCAGCGATGGCAGGAAGCCACTGGAGAGTCTGTTTCTGAGGTCATATTCCTCAGCAAACACACTGCAGTTTCCAAACGTCCAGCACTCACAGTGCATCCAATCGGTCCGTTCTTCTCTCTTATGTGATCCCATTTATCCCAGTGGCAAGGTCAAATGCTTGATGTTTTTTTTTTGTTTCTAGCTCAACACCATTTGATTCATGAGATATCTCATAGATATGCGTTTGATAAATTCGAAAGGATATTGAACCATGTTAGTTATAGCATACGGGCAGTCCATTGATTTTGCTTGGTACGCAATCCAACAAGTTCTGTAATGGCCTTCCATGTATTTGTTATTGTTTTGTCTACTAGTTATAGCATCATGTTTTTTGAGCAACATGCATAGACATCTGTTGGTTTGTTCAAATTATCGTTTCATCAACTGCCTGTTTGCTTGATAATGTACATATGTTCTTACCGGTAGACACACATATAAAGGTGTTCCGCATCTGAAGGAGGATGAAACCCCACCCCAAGGAGGGATTCCTGGATGGGCAGCAATTCCAAGTCCTCGCATTGGCCCTTGGCTCCGGTTGATGCAAAAGATAGCCGCAGAACAAGGCCTCGTTCCAGAGTTTGAGGTAGTTTTCTTTGCAATAGTGACCTATGACTTTTTGAGTGAACTTAACTGATCTATAATTATGATTGTTTGTGAAGATTACGCTTGAGGCTACTCATCATGGACCAGTTACCAGCACACCCACCATGTTTGTTGAGATAGGTATGCGCTTATGTGCATCCTTTTTTTTCGTTTCTTTCATGTTATCATCCTACAACTTGTCTTTTTTTGCCATGGACCCTCTTGAAAGTTCTTTTTACAGTTTACAGAAAAGCCCTACAGTTAACTTAGCAACCTCTTTGACCCATGAAACGTTAGTTCTGCCGTCTTTGCCTCCTACATGGCACCATCCTCAACTCTTATTCACATTCTTCAAGCAGCGCAATCCTGTTTTGAAGTTGCAAGTGTACATGTATTTCCATAATCAACAGGAGTCTTTCCAACATATTGTTTGATTTAAATGGAATCAGCAGTAGTGGGGTATTTGAACGCTGGAACCATACTATACTTGTGGGTGGGATGTTATTCCTTTTTTGGTTTTTTCCCTGTCGATTTTACTTTGCAAGTTAGTGTATACAGTGTACTACCTCTAGTTTAAATTACTTTTTGACTTTTGTTTTAGTTCCATGATGTAATTTGCCCCTATTGACTGTGCGACAATTGATCCAGTTTGACTATACAAGAACACAAAATTTTCAAGCTCAGTCATTTACAATGATCTGTATTCAGTTGTTTCTTTTTTGATTGTGTCAACATACATTTGATATGGTTTGCACAAGCTTATATTTTTAACATGTTTTGTTCTTTTGAGTTGTAAGAGTTGATTACTGCACTATAGAAGATTATATAGTCATGTCCTCAGAAAAATCATAAATAAAAGGTAGTCAAATTAAACATGTGAACTTTTGGAAAGAGATGCTTCTTATAACATGGACAGGGTGAACAAGATGCAAGCAACCAATCTTTTGTGCTCAATCTTGTGGACCTTTCCAAAAGGCCTTTGAGTTTATGTGAACTCAACTCACTGATGTAAATATAGCTCAGTAGACCACTCCAGCAGATGAATTAATAGGCATAATGAATATTAGGTTCTGTACTCCCATCATGTCTGCTGGATCTGAATTGCTAACCTCAGTATTGGACTGCTATAATAATGCCAGGAAGTACAGAAGACCACTGGGCTAGGCAAGATGCTGCGCAGGCAATTGCTCTAGTGAGCTCTCTCCTTCCCTCCCTCTCTGTGTTTATTACGATGTACTTCTTAGTTTTTTCTTGTGGATTTGCACAAGCAGATGGTGTTTATTTGTTGGGCTGTCAGGATCATGTAGCATGTGGAGATTAAAAAACAAAGATCTTATACATCAAAATTTGGTGCATTGCCAATAGTCAAATGGGCCACATATCAGTTGGAAAGTGGAAACTCCTGTCTTGTGCTATCAGATCATGTAATGTGGGCCAGGATCACATGTGAACCTCTCCAGAACATAAGCACATCCTTTTACAATCTTGTTTAATTGTCTATCTCTGATTCCTCTAAGATCTTCAACCCATATCTCTTCTGCCCCTCAAATACCCAAATTCTACTGCTCCCTCCGATTTCTGATGACGCTGTTGCCCTCCCCCAAATGTGAGCTCGACCTCTAATCTTTCTCCGTCGACATCCATCTCCTCAATGTGGAGTGCTAGCTGCGCTGTGCTCTCCCTACCTGTATTGTCCATCCTTTGCTGCTGGTGATTAACATTTTTAACTACCATGCACCTTGTGTTTATCTAACTAACCTTCAGGAGACACAAACATGAATGTGTAGTAAGTCGAGCATTATCATGAATCTATCACAGTGTGGCAAGAAGTATCTTTTAGTACAATAATTGTACAACTGCTAGATTAATGTGCTCATGTTCCAATGGCACACCTTGATAAGTGTTGTGAAGTATTAGTGGATAGCCTGTTAGTCGTTGAACTCTCACTCTCGGTAGTAGCAGAATTCTTACTCTCATCGAGAGAGGATGACACTAGGAGTTGGGGCAATTTTCTGGTTTATTTCTCACACAAACTCACACAAATGCCATGCCAACCTGAGGGGTTGGGGATACATATTTATAGGCTGCTAGCCAGCCAAGCATATGCCAAGATGCTAGTCTAAGATGCTAGTCTAAGATACTAATATGCCGTCCTCTAAGATGCTGTCCTAAAATGCTAGTCCTATATGCTGTCCTAGATGCTGTCCTTCAGTCAAGGATGCTGTCCTTGATAACCACCATGCAGCAGCCCCACAAAGACCAGCCCCACAAAGACTTATCCATCATAGCCCACCTCTTCCCAATAGCTTAAGCTTTTGGGTTCACTTGGTTGGTGCATGAAACCAAACATGGTATCAAAGCCAGGGGTCTCGAGTTCGAGTCCTGATAGAGACATCTTTTAAGTCCTCCGCTCCCTTCTTTATTTCCACGGTTGCGCCTTGTTCTGGCTGCACGTGAGTGGGATTGTTGTGAAGTATTAGTGGATTGCCCACCTTTTCCCAATAGCTTAATCTTTTGGGTTCACTTGGTTGGTGCATGAAACCTAACAATAAGCACATACATGATTAACTATAACCAGTAATTATAGTTGTCGTATTGATTTGGACTGAGTGATGGTTGGGCGACCTGAGAGAAAGATTTTGGATATGGAGTTGAGTCGAGAGTCAGGGGCATTGGCTAAAGAGTAAGTGCAAACACATTGAGAAAAGGATGTACCTTTGTGTTGGGTCTCATTATGGCCCTTAGTTGACAATAGAAATATAGAATAGTGCAGATCATTTCAAAGTGCTAGTCTTCGACTTCTTCTCTAGTCTGACTGTCTGCGATGCTCCTGCTATGATTGCGCGGGATGTTAGTATTTGGTAATTAGGATTATAATCTGGTATTACATACATATACTGGGAGGTAACTGCCCCCCTCCCAACTCTCTTATGCTCTATATATACCTCGAGAGGCTCGATGCAGTTCATCCCATGCATCATACCCAATCTACTACGCTTTCATGGTATTATGAGTTTAGGTTTTGTTCTTGAACCCTAAGGCTTCCACTGCTGTTGCCGCGCAGCTGCCCTTGGGGAGATTGATCTCTGCTAGGGGCGGCGCTCTCGTAGGAAGGTCACGTAGAACCCTGCTAAGTAGCCTCCTCTCCTTGTCAGGCCACTCATCGTTGGCACCGCTGGGCCACTGTGAAGCTCGCCGTCGTCGTTGGGCCACCAAGGCCTGCCGCCATCATCACGATCCTCCGTGCCAGCGCATGCTGCCTACTGATTGTGGACTCTCCCAAGTACAAGGTTTTCGTTGCATACCCTTGCAGGCAGTAGTGGTGACACTCATGGTCAAGCCATCTTCCCGGTCGCTGCCTATCCAGGATGGCGCCACCCATGTTAACAGTCCTCCTAGTCATTCTGGCTCTCTATCCGAGTCTGTGCCTACTGCTGCCACCTCGGGGACATCCCCGTCAATGTCGTTGATGGATGATGTCTGAGAACTCATTGATACATCTGAGCAACCTTGTCTACCTTCACCATTTGGCAGGGGCGGAGCCAGACCCTTTTATCGGGGTCAGCCGACCCCAATGAAATCCTGTAATTTCTTAATAAATCCTTTGCATCTCTAGCTTAACTCTATCGTTTTAGTGGAGCTGACACCGACACCATTTTTGGCTGGCTTCGCCCCTGCCATTTGGTTGGCTCATCGTCCTGCTATGGTTGAAGGGCGGGCCTGGTGCAAGCGGTAGAGTCTTACCGCCCGTGACCGGAAGGTCCCGGGTTCGAGTCGCGGTCTCCTCGCATTGCACAAGCGAGGGTAAGGCTTGCCACTGACACCCTTCCCCAGACCCCGCACAGAGCGGGAGCTCTCTGCACTGGGTACGCCCCTTTTTATCGTCCTGCTATGGTTGTTAGCGAAAAACTGGCTTCCGTTGATGCTTTGGACCTGCACTTTCCTCCATGGCTTTGACTACGTCCATCTCGACCTTGGTACTTCGGTGAGAAGAAAAGGCATGAACTATTTGTTGGTTTCTACTCTAAAAACTCGGCCTGCGGGGGTCATGACCGCCCCCCACGGTATTGTGATTAAGAAGAAGGTCTTCTCACACAGATCGAGAAAATTCCCAAACCCCCGCCCCATCCATACACAGGGAGCCGCCACCCGTGAGAAGGGCCGTCTCTTAACCTGTGCTTTGGCCTGGGACGAGCGAGGGGATTTTTTTACCCTCAGAAATTTGCTCCCATGGGAGTTCGAACTCAGGACCTGAGGGGTGCCTCCGGAACTGCTAACCAACTGGACTAGCATCCTTTGGCTTGGTTTCTACTATGATCATAGCATATGCCATGCAATGTCGCTATGACTATGGGGGTTGTTAGTTTTCGACGTCTTCTCTAGTTAGATAACCCGCTACGATTGCGTGCGCGCTAAGAGAGGGGGGGGGGTCGGGTATATTTGGTAATCAGGAATATAAGCAACTTGCCTCCCAAGTCTATAGACGTTCAATACGATTCATCCCACACTATACCCAATCAACTACGCTTTCACAAAGTATTGCAAAGGTTTTCATGTGATATGTGCCAAATTAAGTATTTCTATTACTGTCTTATCCTTTATTTTGAATGTTAGCTTTTGACTGTTCTCTTATAATGTGATCTTCACAAGGAAACATGGAATTGAAATTTTCAATTCTTGCAGGTTCTATGGAAAGGGCTTGGTCTGGAGGATGGAGATGCTGTTGGAAGTTGGCAAGGGTATGCCTATATGCATTTTTCCTTGTATGTAAAGTAGCATTGTGGGGATTTTACTTTTTCAGAGTCTATACAAAGACACAAAGTATTATCCTCAATGAAATGTAGATTGTAGGACAGAAATTGGTACTTCATGTTGCTAAAATTTAGGAAAAAAATATTAATACAAGCACATAGACCAAACACCAGAGAGTTGGGTCAGTATCATGATCTATGTAGCACAGTATCAGGCGCATACGGATATGGGGATACAACATTTTTCTAAAAAAACGATATGCGGATACGCTTTAGTATTTTTTAATAAATAAATAATGAGGCATATTAAAATTCTAAAAGCAGTAACACACTTGGTGGGACTTAAAATTGCCTTGCATTCTTGCAACTGTGTTGTTCCCAGCATTGCCCAGCTTATCCATCCAATTTTCTCAAAGTCCCAAGTTGCAAATTTCAGAGAACATATAAGCGCTTAGTGCATAAGTAGAACTTGTCAAATTGGATCTCAAAAAAACCTCATCCCCTGTTTTCTTTACCAGCCAGGCTCTGGCTGTTTTTGCATAATGCAAAATCTTAGATTCCTTGTACACCACTGTTGATTGCATTCACATTTCGCTTGATTGTTATTTTATCAATGAAATTGTTTCTATTTGTAAGGTGAATTTGGAAAATACCATCACAAAAACCATCTTAGTTGTAAACTACCATAGGTGTTTCTATGACATTTAGTGACATCGCCCACATGCCATCCTACCTCACATCCTATTGTGTTTTCTACATATGAGCATCTTTGTGATGGTATCCACTTAATTTGAAATTTCTTTTTCTTGTAAGCATTTATTTGTTACATTCTTACTCCCCCCGTTTTTTTTTCTTATAAGCACATGAAAACTCATTTCTTGTTATGCAGGAACTGTGAAAAGGTTCTACTAGGTATAGGAGGTGGTCACTATGTTCCTCGTCACATGGATATTGTCATGTAAGCATTGAGATAAGGTTATTCTTGAAAGCAATTTCTAATTATCTGTTGTCTCCCCTGTGTATTTTCCTTTTTGTATGTTAGCACTTCTAATGTTAAAAGACCATTTTTTTAACATAATGGCAGGAGCTCTGCCTTTCAATTAAGAAGAATAGAATTAGCCTAGTTTATAAAGGAAAACCAGGCCTACAGACGCACAGTTTAATAAACAGAAAAACTCCCTAAAACCAGAACACAATAGCCCTCACGACTAACCCACGGCAACCCACATGCACACAGAGGTAACACAAAAACCAACAGCGAGTCAGCGACCACCGCATGTCCTCATTGCCGAGCTTATCACAAGCTGCAAAGAGCAGCTCCGGCTAGTACCGCTGATGGTCATTGAGGAAATAAAGACCTCAGCCTTCCTTCATTGTCGCCACAAGGATGTTAATTGGATGCCAGTATGTGTTGATCTTCAGAGGAAGAAACCAAGACTTTCGTAGCCTCCTCAAGGAGCTGAGAGCTCAGCCAAGACTTGGTATGGGTTCAGCTTGTCTCACTGGTTGTAAACAAACACTTTTAACCCCAAACCAGCTAAACCATGCAAATCCAATTTAACTGGACTGATCTGGTGCAGTTTGACAGGTTGAGTGGGTTGGAACCAAACCATGTACAATGCTAGTTAAAGGAGTGTTGATTGATGCTGATGTGGGTGTGGTCAATCCTAGTTTCCTACTAGGTAGTGTGCCCGTGCGTTGCTACGGGATAACTAACAATTTATACTAAAAACACACGGATCGCACGATAAGATAACAATACAGTTAAATTAAATACCAATGTTAAAGTGACATTTAATCCAAAAAGCAAAGTTTATGAATTTAACACAGTCACGGAGTGCGCGGCGTCGTAGGCTCACAAATTCTAGAGCTTCCAGAGATTGGGTCGAATCCAACCTAAAGCCTCGGAACCCTGCATCTTTTCCTGGACGGGCTTCACTTCGGATGCGCCGGTAGCAATATCAACGATCTCCAGTCGATGGACCAAGTCGTATGGATTCCCATACAATGGCTCAGACATGTAGATTTTGTTCTCCTTGTACTTGGATACACTTGTTCCACTGAAGCTTTCATTGAAATGTTTAGACACGAACAATGTTTGATCACCGATGTCTCTCACCCTGGACCACTCCGGCGTACGGTCGTGGAGGTTGCACTTGTAGATCGCGCTGCTGTAGGTGAAGCTCTGTGTCTCGTGGAACGTGCTCACCATGGCACCCACAATGTGCAGCTCACCGTTTGATTCCAGGTAGCTGCGGTGCTAGAGCCTCGTAGGTGGCGACAGCGATGGCAGCAGCGTCGCGGTTGGAGTAGCGCCGGCGGCGTTGCTGCTACAGACGGAGATTTCTCCAGTGCGGTCGATCGCCAAGAACTTGTCTTGGCAGTGAACGATGGACCCCACGGAGAACTCCAGTTTGGTGTCGAGCAGCGTCCATGCGCTGTCGACTCCAACCCGGCAGAACGCGACCTCCATGGAGCACCCAAGCATGGCCATAGCCACGCACTCGCGGTCGGCGGCGTCAGGCGGCGCCGAGAGCACGATCTCACGGAAGAACACGTCCCTCATGTCTTCTAGCTTGATGGCTCTGCCTGCGACATCCGCGTCCCCGTAGCCGTTGGTGGGATGGAGGACCCATTGGTCGTGGACCCTAGACACGCGTTCCGATGAGGACGCCGCCGCGACATGTTCGCCTGCTGGCGGGAGCTCAACGCGGGGGGCACGGGCACCGGCGAATGGATTCAGCAGCGTCACGGACGCCGCCTCGTCCATGAGCGCCAGCCACCCACACGAGGAGCCGCACGCCACCTTGCCGCGCACGTCGGGCAGCGTCTTGGACAAGACTTTCTTCTCCGGGACGCAGTAGAAGCCGACGCGGTCCGAGTCGGGGTCGAACGGGAGCAGCAGGAGTGGCCCGAAGGTCGCGAACGGGACGGCGGCGCGCCATGGGGAGCAAGCGGATCGGAAGGACGCCGCGTCGTGGCCTGACGCGAGACGCTGCCCGATGGACTCGAGGAGGTCCTCTGGCAGGCCGGATCTTCAGTCAGGGAGAGGTAGGGACCTTCTCTTGGGATTGGGATGCTGAGCCATGGAAGACAAATGACATCAACTATGGTTCAAGCAAGAAACAGCAAGCGAGGGCGATGGAACACGTGAGCGTGAAACCAAATGAAAAGAGGAAAAAGCTGTCCCTTTTGCAAATGCAAAGAGGGGAAGTAATTAAATGTAGGCAGATTTGGCAAGGTTCTCAGAAATGCAAAGATGTTATTTTTGTCTTAATTCTCTTTCCTTCTGTGTTAATTCTCTTTCCTTTTGCTCGTTGCCATGTATGCTGGTGCATGCAAACATGCAATGTGTATATGGATAGCACAATAATTTTCTACTTCCTATTTTGCCGTGATTCCTCTATCACATGTCAGGCAATATTCAATCAAGGAGAATGGCACGATCAATCAGTAATTAAGATGTCGTGGGATCGCAGGCGTGGGCAGACGGACGAACCAAAACGAATGTCGCACCAAAAAATGTCCACACTTTGTTCTTTTTAGTTGTAGGAGATATAACCTCTCTGGACTGATGCAGAATCTGTACTTGCGGTGGATTTTGTCAGTGGAAACATTTTCGTTGTTAACTGACTTGTCATTCCCAATTTTCTCAGTTAATTTATGCTTGTTCTACTAAAGGGTAGAAATGAGTATTTTGATGTACACAAGGAAAACCTATATTCTAACTGTCTCATTTTAAAATATATCAGCAAAGATGGTGTATGGGTCGGTCATTTACTCTCTGGCTACTCCTTGCCAATGGATACGCCCCCACAAGTAAATGGAAAAACTCCTGGAGAGGTTACTGGAATGTGGAAGCACTCCATCAAAGCTTCCTATGAAGCCACAAAGGCAGCATTTCCTGGTGGTGAAGTTATCGCACATCTTGATCACAAGTAAGTATTCCTAACCAGTTTGATGCGTCTAAAAATCTATTAAAGATGTTTCTTCACTGCATTCATTTTTTTAGCTTATGTAGCTACTGTAGTTTTGGATTGCAAAATACTTGCTCGCAATTTTGAAATTAGTAACACCAGCACCATAGGTTGGCATACCTGGTGACATTACCTGAAGCTTTTTGATGTGTGTCATTACATTTTAGAAAAATGTGAACATCCACGTGGTTTAACCTCAACCTAAACGAAGACATGACAGAGGAGAGCTCGCGTTCGAAAGAGAGGCTCCTTCTGTAGTTGGCTCAAGTGTAGTCAGTTGTTTCAGTTTGCCTGGGTGAGTGCCGTGTCGAGGACGGTGGTACTCTTCTCCCTTGTCCTGGAGGTGGTGGGCAGACTCCTTTTCGGTGTTGTTGCCAGCAGCAGTCTCCACCGGTGCGATGAGTTGAGTGCCAGAACAAAGTCACCTATTTTCTCTTTCCACTTTTTTTTTATCTTGGTGAATGTGGAGGTAGCTTTGGTTAGATTGCTGGTGCTGCGGCTCAGCCTCAGTGTTGCTGTTCCGGTGGATTGCTGGTTCGGAGTGCTCTTCCTTGCAGCAGAAGGGTGTGGGGCCCTCCAACATGCAAGTTGTGCATGCACAGAAGCCTGTGATGCTCTTCCACATGTACACGCAAGGGCTCACATGATGTTGAAGCAGAAGCATGTTGGTAGCGAATATAGAAGTGGCAAAGCTATTCCTAATGTTCGGGCTGACCTCCGACTTCCGTCGAAGCTGATCCTTAGATTCAATGTTAGAAGTAGCGCTAGTATCTTGAGTCCGGTGAAGCTTAATCAGTATCTACGACTCAGGCTCTTCCCTCAGATAGGCCCATTAGACAGTTGAGGGGAGCGTCGGTTGTACTATTAGAGTTCAACAAAGAGGATCCTGGATGCCTTCCCAAGGCCCCAAACGGGGACATCACGTGTTCACTCCAGTAGAATGGATTTATGATTCATACATACCTATGTACCCATGCGAATTAGCATCTCTATGTGAGTCATCTCATTTACTCGTCCGTAGCTAGGTTGCTACAAGGTTATCCTTTGCGATGAAAGATCCTAAAGCTTTGTACTCTGTATTAACCGTTTTAATATATTTGATCCTTATAAGAAAAAAGAACGATTTAACACTCTTTATATTATGATTATTTATACCTTTCGTATACAAGGCTCTACTACAGAGCTAAAAGAATAGAGTTCACCTGCATGTTCGAGGAAAAAAAAATAGAGCTAAAAGAATCAGCCATGGAAATTTTAATTTTATATGCTAGAAAAAACACCAGTACATCACTCCTGTTTAGTCAGCTGAAATAGACACGATACAATACAACATATCCTGTTTCAGTTAAATCTACCTGTACTAGGTTCACAAAGGGCTCTTGACATATGTGGAATGTTAATTAAGATAATGAAGGTTTAACCTTTTTTTTGTCAGCACATACACAACAAGATTTGTGATAATAATAACCTTTAAATTTATTTGTTTTCTGTGTTGGATGGATGATGCATATATATCTGAAGTTTAATATTTGCAGCTGAATTTTGGTTACAGTTATTCTTTGTGTTCAAGGCTCCAAAACATTGAAAATACCTTCTGTGTGACATACTGCCATACTGCCCACCTTCTTTCACAATAACATATAATGTTTTGCTGGAAAGCTGTCTTGACTAATTTAGCTTCCAGCTTGAAAACAACGAAATTTCTGCCCATAATATTATTCCACTAGTGCAACTAGTCTACTCGGTCACCCTGTTCTAACGCATCTTTTGGTGTTTCCTTTCCAGGAGCTTCAAGGGCTGGCAAAAAAATGCTGTCACATGCTTTTTGCAGGAGCAGAACATTAGGATAGGAAAGCCTAGTGATTTCTTCTGATGTACTGCAACAGTGCTTGACACGAAATGTTGGTGGAGGTTGTGAATGCTTGAGCTGATTTCCCTGGGCACACGCACGCTGAGTAAATATGAAACATAAGACTAGAGAATACAATTCCTAATGTGATTCAAGATCTTGAATTTGCCATAACATGCATGCATTCCCTGAGTGTGATCGCTCGTGTTTGGTTATTTGCGATTTTCTGGTCAGAGCGTGAGCAGCTTCTGCCAGAGGACGTGAAAGAGCTGCAAAGAGTTTAGGAATGAAAACACCAAAATACCAGCGTTGGTTTTTGTATAATCAACTGGGAGATGTATTTAGCTGCCATTCAATAGTACGTCACGCGCAGCACCTGATCCTTTCCACACTAGTGAGGTTGTTGGACTGGGCTCTGCTGTAATGCTTGGGAAGATTTGTTTCCTGACTTTTGATCCTTTCCACACTAGTGAGGCCGGACCGGGCTCTGCTGTAGTGCTTGGGAAGATTTGCGTCTGTTCGCTTGCTTTATAAGCTATACTTTTTCAGTCAACAAATAGTATTTTTCTCACAACAAATTAGCCAACAGTATTTTCAGCCATGTCTTATCAGCCAAGCGAACAGGACATTATTTCCTAACTTGCTACAAAGTGCAGCCTGGGTTGTAGTATCCCCCACACTAGTGAGGTTGGACCGGGCTCTCTGCTGTAATGCTTGGGAAGACTTGTTTCCTGATTGTGCTAGAAAGGGCAGCTTCAGTTGTACTTCCTAGTTGTACTTCCTGTATTTCAATTTATAAGATGTTTTGACTTTTCTAGATACGCGGTTTTGCTATACACTTAGATATGCACAAACGGCGTGGCTAGGCCGCGGACGTCTGGATGCCGCGCAGCATGCATGCATCCATCTGCCTTGCTCCAACTTGCATGTGTACCCCGGCCTCGACGTTGTGCCCGCCGCTCCTCGCATCTAGATGGACGGTTGTGCAGACCGTCCCCGCCTCGCACGCGCACCCTGCCACTCGCTGCGCCCCGCTCTTTCCCCCTGACCCCTTCCTCTCTCTCTCTCCATGTGGGCGGGACCTGGGAGCCGGCCCTAGCTCGCCGCACCCCCGTCCGCCGGTCCCTAGCTCTGTCGCGTCCCATCCCTCTGTGCCCAGGGCGTACGCCGATCACTCAACGTGCCCCCGTGAAACACTTGCAACATAAAACACTTGGATGCAACATACGTCAGGCACAGATGAAACATTTGCAACGTACTGTTGCAACATATGTGTGAAACATATGCAACATCCGGACTTGCAACATGTGTGCAAAACATATGCAACATCCAGATAAAACACTTGCAACATGTGTGTGAAACATATGCAACATCCAGATAAAACACTTCTGTAACATACGTCTGAAACAGATGAAACATTTTTCAAAACGCTTGCAACATACCACTGAAAACACTTGTAAAAAATATGGCACATGTGCAACATCCTGATCTATTTTTGCAACATCCATATGTAACAATTGAAACATATCTCTGAAACATCTGAAACATAAATTTGCAACATAGGAGGGGAAGCCCGGGGTCGATCGATTCCGGTCATCGAGGTGGGATCCAGCGGCCACGCTCGTGGGTGCCCTTGGCTCGGCCGATGAAGACCTAAGGCGCCACGGCACGTGCGCCCCAGCGGCCATGGTGGGGTCAGCGGCGTGCTCGACGGCAATGGGTAACGGACGGACGGTGAGGGAGTGAGCGGCGCAGGGAAGGGCACGACGCGGTAGCCCGACGAGCGCGCGGTGGGGGAAGAGGGCGGACGGATGAGTGGCCACGCTGCTTCGGAGCCGAGCGGATAAGCATACGATGGAGTGGGGATTTGTTTTTTGTTTTTGTTTTTGAGAGATAGGGCCCGCTCCTATGGAGCCGCATCCGGACGGACTCCCGTGTTGGATCGTTATCGATACAGAAATCAATGATTAGAAAAGTGAAAAATGTCTAATAATTTAGAACGGAGCAAGTATCTGACAATTGCCCACTTATTTTGCTAGAGGGGAAAGAAGCTTTCATTTCGAGAGTTTTTGGCCCCCGAGGCCAGGATCCCTGGATTTGCAGAGGTTGCTGAGCAGAGCTGGAACGCTCATATTGCCTCCAATTGTTCAAGTAAATCTCTTTCTTAAACTACAGAGACAAAGTAAGGGACTCCAGAAATGGAGTCAGGATAAGCTCGGCAACATCAAGACCCAGCTTGACACCGCCACAGATTTCCTGTCACCTCGAGATTGCTGAAGATAATCGTAATCTCTCTCAGGGTGAGGAATGCCCAAGTAAGAAATTGAAACTACAATGTTGGTTTTGCCTCACTTGAGTGCAGTATTGCTCGGTTGCACTCCTGTATACTCTATGTTGGAGTCAATGCTAACACACCATTCTTCCATCAATAAGCTCGATATCATAAACAGAAGAATTTTGTTGCAAAACTTCAGCTTGGCGACCGGATCATCACTTCAGGGCCGTCTCTATAATTTTGAAAAATACGGACTGACCTGACCGTACTGCTACCAGCCACTGCGCGCGTCTCCATCGATCCTCGTGGCTGTAACCGGCCGTCACGCGCGTGTCTTCATCGGCCATCCGCCCATCCTCGCGTGATCGCATCTCGGGCTCGCGGCAGCGTCGGGTCGGTCTGAGACATCGAGTGCCAAGCTGAGTCGGCGTTTCGCGGTCTCGGCAGTCGGCATCGAAGAACTGAGAAGGCGAGAAGTCGAGAGGAGTCGCATCGGGGTAGAGCGTCACCGCAAGCTACGTCGGGTTGGTGGGGCGATTAGATGCCGCGGCATGAAAGATGAAACGTCGCTGCTTACTAGCGTAGTACACTAGTACATACGAGAATAGGAACCGCCGGCATCGTACTGAAAAATTGTTGGGCCTTCAAATCGCCTAATATATCTACCAATTACATATATGTTGAGGGGGGCCTCCGTTCCACGGCCCCCGGCGGTCACACTGGTTGCTCCTCCCCTAGAGCAGGCCCTGCATCACTTAAGAAGATAAGTAAGAGGCAATATTTATTTTTACGAAAAACTTGCTTGGTACAGCTGAAGAAAGAGATTTCACTTTAGATTTGACTGTTCTCCCAATTTACCAACATGATTTGTCATCTCTGGACGAACCCTTCTCAGAGGAGGAAGTATGGATGACAATAAATAAAAAAAATGCTATTGGACAAGTCTCCAGGGACAGCTGAGTTCACAGGACGAATTTATAGAGGTTGCTGGAGTAATATCAAGGGTGATGTGTTGATGGTCCTAACAGCTATTCAGTGCGGTCATGTCTTCAAATTCAGGCTCCCTTAATAGTGCATAAATCACTCTTACCAAGCACGGCGGAGGGAGGGAGGGGCTGAGAGCGACCAGGCACCCTCTATGCTTAAACACCTCTTGTATTGATCTAGGATCAGCAAGGCCACTTAGATCGGCAAGGAATCTCGTCGGAGATACGTAGAACAAGTAAATGAGGTTGGAAGAGGTAGGGTCTAGAGGAGTAAAAAGTTGGTTAGATTTGTTTTTCGAGGTGTTGGATGCCTCCATCGACGTGAGTTGGTCTTATCCCACCGATAAACGAATCCACGTTGAAAACATGTTTCCTAGTTTTCTGTACGGACTAAGAGTCCGTTTGATTGAGCTGTAGTTATGAGAAAAGCTGTTGTGGGTTGTGAGCTGTGAAAAAACTTTTATGGGTTATGATGTGAAAAGTTAAAAGTTGTTTGGTTGAACAAGTAAAAATTATATCTTCTATCTTTATCTTTCTTTGACACAACTATAAAAGTTCTTTATTCCACCTATTTTGAAAAGCAGAAAGCTAAAAGCAGGGTCTAATGTGCTTTAAAAAATGTACTATGAAAACAGTCGTTGCTTTTGAAAAAGCAGCCTCCAAAAACATCTCCTTCATTTGGTCTTTTGGCTTTTGAAAAGCAAAAGTAGCCTCAAAAGCCCAACCAAACAGATCATAAATGACCTAGCCGACCCTAAGGCCCGGCTTAGCCGGTTTTACTGCGTGCCCCAAAATGATTGTTAACATAAACCCCTGTTTTTAGGTGAGATTACTCAAAATCTAAAAACATAATAGCATCCATGGCAATGATATAAGCCATCCGCTATTTTTATTCTACGAACAATGCATGCATCGACAATTTATTCTAATGGCAATATGTGTACATCAGCCATCGTTTAGACATCACTCTTGCCAAACGGTTAGGAAAATTTCTTCAAATACCTTCCGTTAATTGATCTTGAGAGAATCTGTTCGTTTCGCTGAAAAGTCAGACTAAAAAGTACTGTTCGCTGATTTGTTGTGAGAGAAAAACACTTTATCATAACTGATAAGCCAAACTAATAAATTCAAGCGAACATGGACCATGTAAGTCTCTAGCAAATAAGAATTTCCAAACACAACCTTGATAACTTTGTACGGACCTCATCCTTTGGGTCCTCAGAACGGTCACAATTTGATTATAGAATGCAACATTGCAGCAAGCACGAACTGAAATAGTTAAATCATTGGAACTCTTTACAACCTTTTTTTTTTAACAAACACTCGTTTAGTATCACAAATAATCGGCAATCATGGTGGGCCACTAAAATCTGACTCGCTGCAATAACCACTTTATTTCCGAAGCGGATTGATGCGTACCATGGATACCTTCATGGTCTTCTCCCATAGCCACTTTAGCTTGATCATCAAGCATTTAAGCAACAAATTTTTAGCGGCCACAATAAAGCTATCAAAGCATACTTAAATACAATTTACCGAACACTTTTATTAGCTCTAGCACTTGGATCACGTAAAACAAATTCGCAAGCAACGAACATCGTTTTCATGTCAGAAAGACCAACAAATACAGTTTCCGCACACAACCAGACTAAGCAAAGCAGACTATAAAACAATGTGCTTACGGCGTGTTTAGTTGGGGGGTGGGGGGAGTTAGAATTTGGCTACTGTAGCACTTTTATTTTTATTTAGCAATTAATGTTCAATCATGGACTAATTAGGCTCAAAACGTTCGTCTCGCGATTTTCAACCAAACTGTACAATTAATTTTTTTTTCGTCTATATTTAATGCTCCATACACGTATCGTAAGATTCGATGTGATAGCTACTGTAGCACTTTTTGAGAAGTTTTTTTTCAACTAAACACGGGCTTACATGTAGTGACCTACCAAGTGACAGCACAAGACATTCACAGGTCAATCACACAAATATCATGTGTCCACCCACTTCCCCAAGGTTGATTAAATCCAAAAACTAAACTAAACCTAAATAAAAAAACACATAATTAATAAAAAGTTGCATCAAAGTCATTGGTGGTAGAATAATTTATAAGACTACATAACACTTTAAAATATTCAAAAAAATAGACCAATGGGTATCTCATTTGCTAATTTCTGGACAGGCTAGTCAGCTAGATATCACCATTTGGTCACACGCCCGAAGGGCCTGGTGTGCGTAGTATCTTACATCTACATCTGGGTCCTCACTGAGCTCAACTAGGCATGGTTTCACCGCATTCTCCACAACCTGCAAATACACATTCAATGGGGTAGGTGAAAAGCCAAATATTGATAAAAATAGGATCACAACAACAGAGTTTGATGACTATAACTTACAGATTGATCAAGGATTGGTACAAGTGATTGCAGGACTTTAGCAACATTGAATTTCATGTTCGGAACCCTAGCAATTAAAGATGATATCAGTGAGACCTTGCGGAGAGTATGCCTCAACATGTGTTATTTTGGACTCACCTGTCCTTTGAAGAAGCAATGACAACAGGGAGCAACTGTTGGCATGTGATATCAGGACCCATGACAGGAGCTAGCAAAGAAATAGCTTGTAAAGTGGTCATCCGATACAGATAATGTGGGTTGTTTATCTTCTCCAAAACCTAGAATACAAAAGAGATTAGACAATATAAAGCTTTTCAATCTATCTGTTGATTTAATTAATTAAGCATAAGTAAAATTTATTCCAATACCCTCTTTACCCTGCTTTAATGCAAAAAGAAATGTTGGTGCTGTATCCTCCTATTTGGGGGTATACAAGGTCCAATCTGATGTCATAACAACTTGGTCTATGCATTGTATCAGCATAGACTCTGAAACTGAGAGGCATTCAGTGAAATATTATCACGTCCCCATCTAAGCGACCAACTTAGGTGCTAAACCTAGCTCACCCTAGGCACCAGGTGCCAAACAACCATGTAGCGCCGCCCATCTAAGCGACCAACTTAGGTGCTAGACAATACACGATAGGTGCCACCCATCTAGTGTGTGCCTAGCACTTCTGTAACACTACTTTCCTAGATTTCTTTATGAACACACAAAAGAATGGGAAGGGGCGCAAAGGAGACTCCTTTGTCGCCCTCACATAAGAGATGATGTGCATGGGTTTTGTGCATATAAGCTGAATAGTAGGTTAGTAACCAAAGGACTCATGTCTTTGCTCATGTCAAGGTTTTAAGCTTAAGAATAAAATAAGCAATTTATCATAATAAATGCTATTACATTTTTAACAGTATTAAGGCTAACCTGAGGAATTATATGCTGCATCGCCCACTCAGGGCCAAATTCCTCTGCCAAACGCTTTAAATTGTTGGCAGCAGCATCTCTGATTGAGAAAACCTGAAGCCAAATGTTTAGTATTTTGAGTCACTATTACATTACATAGAATCAATCAAGAATTCAACTTATATAGACTAAAAAGACCATCATTAGAAATTGTATGCATGGTTTCAGCATTAATGGAACTTGTATAATAATGGTTGGTGAAATTATTTATGCACCTTATCTTCCAACCACTGCATGCAAAGTGCCCCCAGCTTGTCATCAAAAAAACCAACACCTAACTGGCTGGCCAACATAGGTATGTACTCAATTATGGCAAGCCGAACTCTCCAGTGCTTATCTTCAGCGAGCTCTACAATGGCTGGTAGAAGTGATTGCGACAGCAAGTCAATTCCAATAACCTGTAAAAAAAAATACAGGAGAGAACTTACAAGTGCATCATTGAATGAAATGAATGATGCCAGGAAGCAGCTTGAGCACAAGTTAAAAAGCCTATTCTTGTCCAATTAAACCAGGTGAACCTTACTGGTTTCTTAGTCAAATCTATTTGCTACAGTGCCAGCTGCATGAATATATAGTCCCAAAAGAGAAATCTAGCTGTATCCAATTTTTTTCACTATTTGGAGCACAGGGTGAACAGCTATCATCAACCAAGAAAATATAATGCTGCTCAAAAGTCAAGGCTCAATTCAAAAGCATGGGATCTTCAACACAAACATTGGGATTTTATTAACACATTTATAACAAATAGAAGATAGAAATAGTGCAAAGGAACTATACTTAGCTCCAAACTTGAGCTCATATAATATACATGTTACAATAGAAAAGACATGGTGGCCAATTGACAAATCAAAGGACTAGAGGTGTTATAAACACTAGCTTACACAACAGCTAACCAACATAGGATAGCCAAATGACAGGGGTTGAAGTGGATAAAGGTATTGGAAGAGAAGATAATCTATATAATAGGAATATAGGATGAAAGAACATTTGGGTTGAGAATAGACTAATTTCTGGTCTTTCACGATTGATAACTGAATGTTTAAAAAAAACGATTGATAACTGATCTATTGCTATCCCTTTGGTAGGAAGAACGCCACTAGATTCCGAAGAAATAATCTGCAATTTTAAGGTACTATTCTAAAAAACAGAATATAAGTAAAGAAGTAACAACAACAACAACAACATAGCCTTTCAGTCCCAAGCCAGTTGGGGTAGGCTAGAGTTGAAACCCACCAAGGGCCCCAAGTCACGGTTCAGGCACTTCAATAGCTGCTTTCCAAGTACTCCTATTCAAACATAGATTCCCTAGGTATATCCCAAGCTTTCAAATCTCTTTTTATTGCCTCCCCCCATGTCAATTTCGGTCTTCCTCTACCTCTCCTCATATTATTAGCTTGGCTTAGGACTCCACAATGCACTGGTGCCTCTGGAGGTCTCCTTTGGACATGGCCAAACCACCTCAACCGATGTTGGACAAGCTTTTCTTCAATTGGTGCTACCTCTAGGCGATCACGTATATCATCGTTCCGAACTCGGTCCATTCTTGTGTGACCGCAAATCCATCGCAACATACGCATTTCTACAACACTCAATGGTGCACAAGAGAAATTGGTGGACAGGTAGTCTCTCAAGTACACAACCAATTACCAACAAAATTTCAAGTGCTACTACTTGTGGACGAAACAGGAAAATCTGTGTTTATAGCTTAAACTACATAGCTTGCCAGGGTAGCCAGGCACTGACCTGGTTAACTTGATCAAGTTTGCTTATAATGTTTAGTCGAACATCAGGGAACTCATCCTTCAGCAAAGAAAGAAAAATGGGAAGAAGTTGTTCAATAGTGGCATCCTACAAAAGGTCAAAACTGGAACAGTCAGTACAATTAGATCAGCATTTAGCAGTTGACAAGTACCAATAATGATTAGCAGTAATGTTGTATGTTAACAAAGACCAGCAAATATTTAACAGTACTATCAGAAGGAATATCCTCATGAAATGACAGGATCTATCTAATATTCAAATCATTAGCACAGAAGGATGTGGAAACGAAAAAAAGAAAAGCAACACAAAAAGATTTACAAAAGCATAAACTTTTAAAAAAAAACAAACATATCCCTATCTCAACCAAGTGAACTGATAGGTTCAGCCCTCGAAAAAAAAAAAGATAGGTTGAGGACACATGTGGATCAGATGTAGAAGAATAAGAAATTCCAAATAACCTATCTAAAATTCAGCATGAACTCAAGATTAGTAACACAGATCATTATACAGCTGGGGGGCACATATCTTGTTATGTTCCTTCCAGAAAAGGATATAAACTAATTTAAAGCTATCAACAGAACAAATGAGAACTTATACTACTGATAACTGTAGTGTAATTTTCCATCAAACTGATACATTACATTCACTGATAGAGCTCACACCTTTCCCAATACAGGAGCCATTCCCATAATAACTGATGCCAAAGCTGAACGAACATGTTGAGATGAATCTGTTGATTTTTCCTACGGGTACAACAGGCACAAGTTAACCACTGAATATTGGTGCAGAGCTCAACTAGTGTTTGTGCAATGCTTAAACACACCTTGACACATGGAAGAATATGTTCGATTGCAATTTGTGGGTTTAATATTTTGCAGAATTTTGTAACTTTTACAGCAGCTGCAATCCGCACTTCAGCCTCATTGTCACAGAGGAGGCGAACATATGCTGACACCAGATCACCCCTATTATAAAAGGCAATGGTCTCAATAGTAAATGAGTCATGGTATTACATTGATTAATCTTTCCATGTATAAAGCAATAATCACTTTATGTCAAAGCACCATTTTTAACATAAAGAAAAGATTAAACACCTTGTGGGCTCAGTACCAACAGCTTCACATAGCTCAATCAGTTGATTTGCCACCATATAGCGCACACGCCAAGATTTATCCTGACAGATGTTAAGTATAAGCAAATGAAACCATGTATGGTAGTGTGCTGAAACTTAATCATATCAAATTATTGTCTAGTGACAGACCTTAGGGTAATCTTATAGTCTAGTAATTTTACGAGAATTAGTATTGACAACTTTGTGCCTGAACCGTGACTTGGGGCTCTTGGTGGGTTTCAACTCTAGCCTACCCCAACTTGCTTGGGACTGAAAGGCTATGTTGTTGTTGTTGTTGTTGTTGTAGTATTGACAACTTTATCTTTTCTCTCAACATTTATGAAGCCATCAAAAGTGTGTAAGATATACCTGAGAGAAATTTACAATAACTGGGAGAATATGTGCTGCACAATCTTGGGGCTCCAACAACTTCCCAAGAGCAGCACAACCCTCAACCGCCAATAGTCGCACTGAATCTTGGTCTGAGATAAGTCAAACAGTTTCTTCTTAGCTGATGTAACATATGGTTTGATTGTGAACTAATTTCATATAACAGACGCCTGGTAACATTCAAGGTTATTAAGATTTATCTTCAAGAAAATAAACAAAATGGTTTGATACAGAGTTTCAATATAAAGCAGAGCTTAGCTCAAGTATTTTCAAGCCTCAAGGATTGATGATTATAATTAAACATCATGACTCCTTACAAGTCTGTAATAGTAGGTTCAAGTGAAAAGGCACAAAATGGGCATACACAACATAAATTATCCTTAAATCATCAACTCTGAGAGAAGAATTATGCATGTGTTGCGGCTCAGATGGCCAATGGCTGATTGGGCCTCAATGTGGACCAGGTGGGCCACAGGAGAAAGCAGAAGTAGTTATCCCTGCTTGGGGCACACGCTAGGAGGTATCCTAAGGCACAACGTAAGATACCATTGAAAAACCATAGTACCAACTAGCACTAAAAGATCACTAAAACTGTAAAATAGCACTGAAAGAACCCACCAACCTAATATACCATTGAAAAACCATAATACCAACTAGAAGTAGCACTCTGTTACATTTTCCATCCAGCTCCATTAACAAGGAACAAAATACCCCTACCCAGTACCAACCTGCCGACACAGAAACAGCTGGCGACCAGCCCTCTTCACCATCCTCCTATTGTTCTTCTCCCCTTCACCGCCGCCAAAGAGCACAGCTATGGCCGCCTCTCCACTGCCACTGCCAGAGAGCAAGACCATGGACGCCTCCACGGCCTTGCACCACTGGTCAGACTGCGTGCACAGCCGCCACAGTTGTCTCGTCTCCCCGCTTGCAGCCTCAGAGGCCCACGCTGTTCGCCGGCCGTTGCAGTTCCACCAGCGTCAGGCGGGGTAGGTGGCGTGGTCGGGGGGAGGTGAGCGAGAGAGGGGGCGTCGGCCCCTGGCGGGGCAAGCAAGAGTGGCTGGGTCACCCAGGGGGGAGAGGAGGTGTGTCAATGCTATCAAGTCATCTAGTCGATCCTAGTCGCCATGGGACCGACCAGGCGACAAGCCCTGATTAGTTGTCAACCAGGGCGACTAGTCGGTCCTAGTCGTCTCCTAGTCATCCTATACATATCAGGACTAGTATCCTATACTAATATATTATATGTTCTAGAGTACAAATCAAGCATGAAGATGACTCTAGGGTGGTGGCTGCATGTGGGGTTGCAAATTGGGCTGAAAACATGAGCACAAGTGGCCTAAGCCAGCCCATGTCCTAAGCTACCCAGCAATTCCATTCTGTTTCCGGTCATCCACCCCCTAGTCAATGACTAATCGGACGACCAGAAAACTAATCAGCCTAATCGAGTTGTAGCCTCTAGTCGAGTCTAGGATACCAACTAGGACGACTAATCGCGATTGATCGGACGACTTGATAACACTGGATCACACGGCTGCAGGCGGGGAAGGGGAAGTTGGTCGCCTGCATGGGAGGCGTGAGCGCTGAGGTGAGATTGATGATAAGGTGAGCCTAAGGGATAAATGCCATTTCAAGCCTGGTTATGTTCTGTCCAAGGAAGAAAAATACGCTTTCGGTGAAAATATGATGGAATGCTATATTTAGTTAACGTTTTGATCTTTCAGTGGTATTTCCTGGTGACAGATTCTTTCGGTGGTATTTTACGATTCTTGCGATATTTCAGTGCTACAGAACAAATTTTCCCAATACAGTTAAGCTTACAAGTTACAAGGCAACAAAAAACCTTCTACATCATGATGTCTATTTGAGCTTGATGAAAATGGGAGGGCCGTGAATAAGATAATAAGCACATAAGAACAATTTTGCATAGCTAAGCAGGTTACAATAGCAATGGTATTTGTATTAAAAATTGATAATTGTAACAACAGATTGCGGCAGCCAACAGGCAAAAAAAGATATTCGACTGTGCATCATGTCTATTACATATAGAAAAACAAATTGCTAAAGAATATTAAAGGATTTACAGTGGCACAAAACAGAATAGAGCAATAAACGTCAATTAATTATTGTGAAGTTAGTAAAACAAGAAAAGTAACTAAAGTCAAAATGCAGGTGCAAAGCACAAAAGTAATCCAATAGTAAAATCCAATGGTACAATAAATAACAATATGTTGAAAACAAAATTGAAATAATAAAACAAAGATGTATGAGTCGTATGCACGGAACTAAAGCAAATCATCCACAAAACAAAAGAGATAACTTAATAAAGCAGTGGTAAAAATATCTGTAGGATGTACCATCTTGAGTTAGATCATCAAATATTGACATGATTTCTGTCTTCAAATGACTTTGTTCAACTGTTGCAGCAAACTTTCCAAGATTAGAAGCAGCAGCTCTTCGTACCATAGGCATGTCGTCTTGGCATAACTGGCCATAAATTGTCCTCAGTTCTGCCTTCAGTTGCTCAGGTGCACTAGGATAGGCGATATGAAAAAGGCCACATGACGAAACTCGAGCTGTGAACCACTCGCCTGCCGCCAACCTCTGAATTGATCAAGTGTTTTGTGTTCGTTATATAATTTTGAATGAAGTGCCCTCTTTTCGTATGCGGTAGACAATCATAACTAATTTAACTAAATCCATAACACGGAACTTAAGAACAAAGATTAGTTTATTAAACATGTAGAAAACTAGTTCACTAGAAATCAAATATAAGTTACTAATGGAATAAGCTAAATGATTGTTATATGTGACCGGAAAGTCCCTGGTTCGAGTCGCGGTCTCCTCGCATTGCACACAGGCGAGGGTAAGGCTTGCCACTGACACCCTTCCCCAGACCCCGCACAAAGCGGGAGCTCTCTGCACTGGGTACGCCCTTTTTTATTGTTGTAAAGCATACTCCCAATATTATACAACAATAAATAAAGATTGTTGATGACATTTGACAAGGTAAATAGATAGCGTCATGATTTTATGATGGGCATAGGCAAATTATATTAAAAGCTAGTAAAATGGCAAACAAACAGATTTTCAAAATAAAAAACAACAGTCTAGATAATCCTGTGGAACTTGTTCAAAGTAAAAACACAAAAGCCTAGATGATCCTGTGGCAGTGGACCACTTCCAATACATATTGTAAATTTGATGATGACTCCAGTAACTTGTTAACTGAGAATGTAGAGTTATAAATTCATGAAGATATTCAATAAGCTTCTGCATAGTGTTATGAAGCACCGGTAATGATTATAGAATCACAGAAAGTTTGACAGCAGTAAAAGGAAAACAAGTTTATGTGTATTTCTAAGTTAGAAGCATGTATAACTACAGCTTTAGCCTAAATTGGTGTGAATACTTCTTTTTCTGTCAGAGCGAATAAGAAAAGATCGAAACCTATCACAATAAAAGTAGTCCTCATACCTTTACGACAGGGGCAAACCAGTCCACAATATCACTTTCCTTCATCTGTGCTCCTATCCGACAAAGTGATTCCACAGCCTTGTCTCTGACACAGGTTTCCTCCACAGTACACAATGTTTCCAGTGGTGGAAGCAAAACGTGTGCATGCTCTACACCTCCAACATAAGGAATAAAAACGCCCAACTCTTCTGCCATTGCAAGAAGCACCTCATCTTCATCGTCGTTGTTTTCACTAAGGAATGGAATCAGCTCTTTCCTTGTTCTTTCTTCACCCAATGCACGGGCAATTGTAGAAAGCTTTCTGATAGAGTTAAGGCGCAACTGAATATCTTCATTTTTCAGTTCATCAATCAGTACAGCGATCGGGTACAGAGGTTCATCAATCATAGCCATTATTATGTTTGGCTAGAACTTTTTTTTCAGCTGAAAATACACCAAAAGGAATAAAATAAGTTAGCGTCCTTAAAACTGAACACAATATTATGAAAGCCAAAATCTTATCAACCATTGGCTACAGGACGCCAAATTAGGTCAGCAAGTTTTTAGCTCCTAACGGGGGCGGACCCAGCGAAGGGACATGGGTGCAAAAATATACACCCGATAATTTTTCAAAAAGGTTCCAGGTTAGGAGGCATCAAATAGCCAAATAGCTTTAGGTTTGGGTTTGGGTGCTCGGCTTCGCACAGCAGGAAGGGAAGAGATTAAGAGAAGGATGGGGATACCTGGTGGGTGCTCGTCGCCGGCGAAGAGACCGACGAAGACCTCGGAACCTGGCGTAGGGCGGCGGCGGCGCCGGCGGTCCACCAGTCGTCGGAGAGCGAGGGGGGCGACACACCAATCGTCGGAGTCTCGGAGAGCGAGAGGGGTGCGTGAGTGAACGGAAGGGGCATTAGGGGAATGCGGCGAGGGAGGTGCGGGCGCGAGAGGGAACGGGAGGGGAATGCGGCGGACGGCCGGCGGTTGTTCGGCCCGGGGAGAGCGCACACGGGCCTTCTCCTGGGCCGTTCGTTGCAATTTCTTGTTTTTTTTTTGTTTTTTCTTTCTTTCTCCCTCTTATATTTACAAGCAAATATGTCCGTACGATTGCAACGGGAGAGAAAAAAACTAGCATATGTTAATAGGAAATAAGGACAAAAATGTTATATATCTATTTATATTTTACTTTTTTCATAAATTTTAATGGTTATAATTTATTTTATGATGATCATGACATGCATAATAAAGTTAATATCGTTAATAATATGGCAATGTCATATTAGGAACGATGGGAGTGAAAGAGTATGGAAGTAGCCGACTTAATAAGAAGTCTAAGAGTCTGGATTTGACTTGCAGGCAAAATAAAATATAAAAAGAAAATAGCGACAAACTCCTACGTGGACTCACATACTAAAAAAAGAAAGCAACGTGTCTGTGTATTGTAACGGGAGAAAGAAAAAAACTATTAAATGTTAACGTAAAATTGTAAAATACAGATGAAAATAGTATATATCTGTTTATGTTTTACCTTTTTTAAAAATTTGAAGGCTATAGTTCATTTTATGATGAACAATGGGCTAATCCAGGTTCTAATAAAATAAGTTTGTAGATACATTTATTTTATAGCAAACTTTTTAAAATTATTTCAGTTCATGGTTTGATCGTTGATCCATGTTCTAATAATTAAAATAATTTTTATCTCTAATCAAAAGTGCACCAATAGTTTAGTGCTCGGAATATTTGTATATTTGTGAATTAGTGAGTCAAGAGTTCAAAAATCTATAATATTATTTTTATTACTTATTTTTTATTTTGATGTTTATATATAGAAAAAAAGAAGATACTCTAGAAAAAACAGAAAGAAGACGGGAATGGCCATGCAAAAAAAAAAGATGCAAAGAAAAATTACCTAGATGACTCGTTTCGCTGAAAAGCTAAGTTGAAAAGTATTGTTCGCTAATTTATTGTAAGAGAAAAATACTATACCATGGTGGTTGATAAGCCAAGATGATAAGTTCAAGCGAACATGGCCTACACGTGCATGGCTTGAGAACTTGTCTCGTATTGGATTTAGATTGTGCTAGTTTTAGTTCGCAAACCTGATCACGTGATGCAAATGTGGCCTTGAAAAACAAACTTGCCGATTAAAAAAACAGAAAAGGAAAACAAATTAGAAATCACGGAAAACTGTACCGTTGGGGAGAAATCAGAAAAGAGAAATTGAAAACCGTCATGGAGTCCGAAAACAATCAGCGTGTTCGGCTAGTGCTGGCTGGCTGGCTGGGCTGGTCAGCCTCCTCACACGAACACTATTCATATGAATCGTGTTTTCCAGACAAAACAATATTTTTCTCTCACACAAACCAGCCAGCAGTACTTCTTCACGAATCAGCAACGATACGAACCAGCCAACCGAACAGGCTGAATTCCATCGTAACAAGTTGAATCCACAGTGGATAAAAGAAGAATCGGAAACCACCTCCGTATCGCGCTAGCTAAGACCTATTCTAACTCGTATGAGCACGGATTATATATATATAAGTCCGGACGGAAGACTCTCAATTGTCCAGTAATTAGATAAAGCCGGACAAAAAATGGGTGGAGAGAAATTTTACCTCTTTATTATTAGGTATATAGATTTGTATTCGATTTCATATCTATCCTCTCCATGGCCCTATCAATGACCAGTACAACATTATTAGTTTTAAATAACAGAAATAGTAATGGATATTTATTAGAAATTGTAAATTAGCAGATGATTTTTTAAAAAATATATTTTTATTAAGGTCGACCATTTTTTATTAAAAAAGAAACCATTTTCACTAGAATGTAGAACAATTTCACAAACTTGGAATGTTTTTCTTTTAAATCTATATAACAACTTTCTTAGAATAAAAATAATTTTCTCTTTGTGACAATTTTCAAGTGAACGAGAAATATTTTTTTTTTGCTAAACATGGGACAATGACTCCCATGAAACAGTAAACAAGTCCGGAAAGGGAGGATGGGGGTTTGTGATAGAGGACTGCAGTGGAGATGTTTTACAAGCTGGAGCTGGTAATTTGAGCAATCTCATAGATGCTTTTCAAGCTGAACTTCCTACCAGCATGGCTCGCATGAAGGAACAAACCAGCTGGAGAAACAGATTGCATTCTAATATATTAAGGCAGTTTACTTTGGCCGCCAAGAGCGCCGTCCACGTCGCCCCGAATCGTTCCGCCGTTCGATCTCACGTTGGACGCCCCAGATTTATTGTAGCGGATTTCGTCGTAAGCGGTTTCCCGTGCTTCTCCTCGCCTTTTTCGGCTTCTCCTCAGCTTCTGCTCGGCTTCTCCGGCTCCTCGTAGGAATCTGGCCAAACGAATATATTCGCACATCCTGCTTCAGCTTCTAGACGCTTCTCCTTTCCCCATCCTCTCTCCTCTTCCCTCTCTCCCCCCACTGGCGACAGGCGACGGCAGGGCGACGGTGGCGGACGCCGGCGGCGACCCACGGCTGCGGTCGGCCTCGCCCTCCTCCTCCCCCCCCCTCGCGTCGCCTCGTGCTAGCCGGACCCGTCTTTTGGCGGCGCACCTGACGAAAGCGGTGTCGGCGGGCGCTGACGGCATGGCGCACAGGTATCGGCCATCGGCCGCGCCGCCACCACCCGCCATGGCTGGCAGCGAAGGGGCCCGCCGTTGGTCGCCGGGCGGTTCCCCCCTGCGTGACCTCCTACCGATGTTCTTGCGCGCCGCTTCGTGCAGGCAAGAAACCCTAGGTGCCTCTCCGTCTCCCCGATCGTCATTTGCCTCTCCCTTCTCATCCCGGATCGGTGTCGTCGTCGGCTGGGAAGCACTCGATCGCGGCGGGTCAAGCAGGCGCACCAGCGTGGGGAGCCGTCAATGCAGCCGTCGACCGCCTTGACGGCAGCCCGCCGCCGCGCATCGGTCGCTTGAAGCGCCCTCCGATGACACGGCCGCCGCAGACTCAAAGACAAACCCCACCCTGCGCGGCTGTGACCCGGCCCGTTGACGCGATCGACGCTAGTCCAACTGCATCCTCTGCTCTATTTCGTCCTCCCTCACCTTGCTTGGTCATGCTACGGTAACCTCAAAAAAAACTATATCTCCTTTGCCACCTTATGTCTCTGATCCCTTGATTTTGTTTTCTATATGTATGGATGTAGTTTGTTTACACATACGATTTGTGTTCTAGAAAAAAAATGAAAATGTCTCCCCTCATAACTTATGCATGTATTGTTAATCTGGAAGGCACATTATTTGCAGGTTTGGGACATTGATGTGAACAAACTATGTTATCTGCAACGTATTCAAAAGACGGTCACTACATTCTCTGAAAAGCTTTGGCATGTGACTATGTGAGTTAGCCCCATAGGAGATAGGAACACATGTTAAATCGGTTTCTACTAAAAAAAGTACCGCGACATTGTAGCATCTTAATTTTAGTACTACGGTCTCAGGCCTAGCGATGGTTCATGAGTTCTCGGCAAATGCTAATAGTAGATAGAAAATGCATACATACCGAAGGGTCAGCGGAAAATCATCTCACTTTACCATGTATCATGGATATGTGCCTGTTCAATTAGATTATTAGTCTCGGTGACGCTACCTTGAAGACCTTATGCATCGAAATAAAATGATGTAGCTTCAGACTATCTGATTGGTGGCCTCTGAACAAAATGGTGGAACTCAATGTACGTAACTTAGCGGTGCCACTTCTAGCTGTACCGTAACCTTATGCAGCAAAAAAAATGATAAACTTTCAAGTTATCTAAATTGGTGGCTTCTGGACAAAATGGTGCTTTACAATTATGGCGGCGCCTTCTGCCTTCACCCAATAGAAAATCACACGCTAACAGCTGCTTCTTTCTCGGAGGTATGCTAATTTTTAAATTGTTCCTCCATTTGTCCTTTCTTTACTATCCTAAATGTGATTGAAGGTATGTTTGTAAAATATTTATGGTCTGGAAAAGTAATATTTAAATTTAATATAGCTTTAGTTTTCTCTCTCAGTGCCGCTTCATTGAGGGCACCTTGAGAAAGTTCATGTCTCGGGATGATTAGTATAGCTGTAGCCTACCTTATTTATAGAAGATGGGAAAATCTAGATTTTAGCATCCCAACAATTTCAAGGTATAAACGTCGTTACCTACACGGTTTGATTTTCGTTTAATCGCCGGCGCGCGCAAAGGCGCGTGTGATAGACTAGTCATGATTAAAGAAGCCATTGAGGGAGATGGTTTCAGGCTGGCACGTTATGGAGGACTTTTCTTTGAACGGAGGACTTCCATATATGTTCTAATTTTTCTACCTTCTACATGTCAACGGACGTGTTCTCCAAAAAAGAAACTCTTCTCGGTTAAATTTTCCCATGAATGTATTGTAATAAAGTAGCTCATGTCTTCACGGCGAAAGGTT